TTATTTTTAGACAACTCTGAACACAGGAGGGCAAACTTAAGACTAACTTTGGTATTCAGAACAGTCTCACTAACAAATGCCTGTATAACTCTGGTAAAATCTACATTCATTTTGTGGCAACAGAGGTAATTTTGTCTTGACATTCTTCACCTCATGTGAAAAGTATAATTCAATTTCAGTATTAACTATAAAAATTTTTGCAATTAAGCCTGAAAAGTCCTTAGCGGCGGTTTGACAATAAAAGCAGGTTAATGTAATGAAACCCCCAATGAGGTAAATAATGCCACTTGTTCATTTTGCAGTGATTTCAAAGCATTTATGCGGGTGAAGAGTAGGTTTATTACCTGGTAATTTTTATTTCGGTCTTTTAATAGCAGTGGTGTGTTAGGAAATTTTGTATGTGATAATATCACTCTCCTCCTGCTTTTCTTAGCAATGGGTTGTATTCTCGAGCTCTTAAAATTATGAGGTTAATGTTTAATTTTTCATTACCAAGAAGAAATGAAATTATTGCTAAGAAAACAGAAGGTCAGTGATACTATTAGTATCATAATACAAACTTTATTCATACTAGAATCAATTGCATTTTTTTTCCTTAAAAAAAAAAAAGTGACTATGTAAGAACCAAGGTTTTGTACTTTGGTTCTTTGCTGGAATCCACCTCTTCAGCCCTCTAAAATGACTTTCCCATAGCGGCTGTTTCCAAACACGCATCTGTAAACTCTCAACTGATAGATGCCCTCTCCTGGCATGATATCTCCTCTCAATTTTTCTGCAGTTTCTGCATGCTCTCTTTTTCTTCGGAGGGTGGTGGCCATTATTGCTAACTGGAGTAGTCAGAAACATCACAAGAAATGAGAAAGTGCCACAGAACATCCCAAGTGCCACCCTACGTTCTGATGAGAGTAAAAAGAATTGTTTGTATTATAATACTGAATTTTTTGAGTAAAAGTTGAATACTAATGGTTTCTTTCCTAGTTTAGATTCAAAGTGGATTGTTTTGTACTTAAAATTTTATTGGTTTCATGGTACTTTCTAGTTGAATTTGATGTTGGGGAAGTTTTTCAATGTGTACCTCATGACCTTACTGCTGGTTCTGGTAGCAGGGATCTCAAGGAGACCAGAGGAATGACCATTCGGTCCCTGAGCGCAGCGGTTCCCACATTGAAGAGGAAGCACGGGTCGAACCCACCAAGAAATCCCAGCACCGCTCTTCCTCCAGCCAACACCACAACCACCGCAGTGGTGTCAGAGGCCTTCACAGGCAAGAAACTTTTGACTCAGAAACACAAGACAGCAGAGATTCAGCTTACGTAGAGCCAAAGGAGGACTACTCTCACGAGCATGGTGACCACTATGATTCTCACAGGGATCATAATCACAGAGACGAGTCCCATGGGATCAGTGAACACAGACACAGAGAATCCCGGCATCGCTCAAAGGAGAGGGACCGCGAGCAGGACCACAATGAATGCAACAAACAACGCAGTCGTCATAAATCAAGGGACCAATATTGTGACAAGGATGGGGAAGTGATATCGAAAAAACGTAACGATGCAGGGGAGTGGAACAGGGATGTTTACATCCGACAGTAACTTTTGCCTCTGGCAGTCTTGTGTTTCTTTGAAGTCTTGTAACAATGCCCCTTGAAAATATCTTGGGCTCTTCTTTGCAGAACATATGGTATCCTTCTGTATGCTGATTTGTATTGCTGTTGCTTGCATAGCAATAGCATGAAATAGAATATTCATATACTTATTTTTTTGGTTAGTGCTATATGAATTAGTGTAGTACAACTGAAGAGTTCCTGATGTTGTACTATGACATTTTTCAAGCTGTTTTTGGTAGCTGCCACTTGAACAATATCTGTTGCCATCAAGGTGTTGTTAGTGTTTTTTAAAAAAAAAGTACATTTGATGTTTAATAACTTCCCATGTATTCAGCAAGCCAGGATCAGCACATAAAAAAATCGAAAAATTTTTGTCTGCTCTGATTTTTAATTTGTATGCACTTGATTTGCATATTGATTTAAGCACCACTCTGTTGCTTGTACCTCTGGTGGTCTCCGTATGAAGACAGAATTCAGTCTTGCCTTACACACAGGGGATCATGGAGTCAAAATCTATTTTCTATGTACTGGTACTGTGTACTGTATATACAGTTTATAAACGTTATTTCTGCAGACACCTTCTTACTATATAAGTTTGATCACACTGTTTTAGAGTCCTAATGCCAAGTCAGCAGATTTGCTTTTGAATTACTGGCAACTGGAACTAGCCTCACTTAGGAAATCTGTAACAGTGTTCAATCTAAATACTTTTTCTTCTGTAGCAGAAAGCTTATACTTACTGTAAATACGGATGAGTGCTTGAGATAAAGGGTGTAACTCTTATACCTTATGCTGTCCTTGCAAACCAAATTCTGCATTTTAAAGTTACGGTAAAGATAATGAACTTACCACTATAAATTATTCTTCTCTGTTCAGGTCACAATATTGCAAAGGGCACAGCTTAATTTTGGTTCTACTGTCAGTAAACAGAGCACACGTGTTGGAGGTGTGTATGTGAGTGGGCGGGTGGTGGATCGGTGTCCGTGTGCGTGTGCACGTTAGGCAGCAAACTGTGAGAATCTACTGAAGAAAACAAAGGTATTTTGCCCAACAAGTCTATTTCTACATTCTGTCTCTTAATTTAAAAATACAAATTGCATTCAGGGAATATGAGGGAATTTACTGACCCAGGTAATTGGGAAAGCATAAATCTGCTGGCTCTTTATTGAGACTTCAGGAGAGTATAAACAGGCAAATGTTACTGTGAGTTTCACTGGAAATGTAAAATCTTTGTGTTTTAGAGTATTTGTTTTAGTAAGAAAAGTTTACACAGCTTGTGGAGAGTTATTTTGTTGGAAAATAAATTTTTGTAGCTTCTCCACTTTTTCTACACTTGCCAATTCTCTGCATTCCCACTCTGCAGCCAGCTCACTGCTTTTCCTTCACCAAAGCTGTTGTGCTGCTGCTGAGAGCATAGAAGAATGACTGTGACTCTGTTAGGAGCTTTCTAGAGAAAATGCATTGAAATCAAAGGGAGTGAACACAGTTTGTTTTGCACTGAACACCTGTTGCACTGGTAAGTGGGGGGAAATTCACTATTTTTTTTTGACTCCAGGTTCCATACCCTTGCCTAGTGTAAAAGCTGTTCTGCATCACGTGTAGTCTTTGTAGTACTTGTATGAATGAAATACTTTTTGTATTTCCCTGTAAATAGCACATTATATAAAGACTTTAGTGTGATAATAATTAGTTTAGCTGGAAATTCTTTTTATTTATTATTTCAATTCTGGGAATATCAGCATTGCCTGATTTTGAATATCATTTTAGTGAAATGGATAAGATACATGGCAGGTGCATGCTTTCTCCAATCTCCTAGCCCAGCATCTAAGGAATTCCCTTAAACATTCTCTGCCCTTCCTCTCCTACCCCTCTCCCTGATGCTTTATAAGCATTTTTACAACAACCTAAGAGTGGGAAATTCTGCTGTCAGTTATCTGGCCATTCCTCCCAGTGCTGCTGACTGTTGTGGTTACTCAAGGATAGGTTTTGGCTCAAAGCATGAACTGTGGGGAACACAAGAAAAAAGGTTATTTTTCTAGAAATAAAATTCTCATAATTTTTCTAGACATCACTAAATGGCTTTGTAGAGAAAGGAAGAATAGGTAAGTAGATCTGCTGAATTACTAAATGGATATAGAAGAGTACATAAACTGGGTTTTGATAAAAGAGAATTTTCAGGGTATCTGTAAAAAATTACATTAAAAGACTGTTGTTTGAGTCATATCAGATCACATGTAAGTGGGAAGAAAGTGATATTGTCTTGCTCTGTATAGCCTGGCTTTAGCTAATTTACCAGCTGCAGTAAATGGTGTTGCTCCCTGCAACTCATGACAGCTATGTCCTCTAAGAAGTGATTCCACTTCAAAACCTTGAATATTATGTTCCTTTTTTGTTGGGTTTTTGGTTGGATTTTGGGGTTTTTTGCTTTGTTTGTTTCTTTTTTTACTTTTGCTCCAGAGAGTGTTTATTTTTAAGCTTTCTTAAAGTATTTTTTAAGGAATATTTGGCAGAATTTCAAAGCACTGAGTAGTATATGAAAACTATGGCATAGGTAGTTGTGTATAGACAAATAAATGAGAAAAGAGAGAGCATAGTCCAGGCCCTAGTATTTAAGTATGGCCTATATATATTGATTCATGCAATATAAACATCACAAAAAAAAAAAAAAAAAGACAAATCCAAATCCAACTGGTCATAGAACTGTGTTTTATATAGTGCTGCTATTTATGTATAGTCAACATGCTAACAAACACATGTGTTTCTTAGGCAGACTCACTGAATAGGTTTTATTAACCTTGCTGAGATACTTTTTTTCAGTTTCTGTTTTAAGAGTGACAAATCATTTGTAATGTGAGCTTGTACTACATATATTGCACAATACCACCTGCCTGCTGAGCACTACTTTGAAAAGCACTTTAACAGAATTATGTCAATAAGAAGCTTTAAAAATACTCCAAGTGGAGAACATATCAAAGATTATTGTGATGAAATGTCTTTGCAAAGTTTTGCCAATAGAAAGTTTAATATTATTGGTTGCATTAGGATACTAATGAGATCGTATTTCCGTATCTGGTTTCAGGGATTTTCAGGAATCTGAGAAATGGTAGAGGTCCCAGTGGGCTCCAGAGTCTTATGGATGTGTGGTACAAAACCTGTAAAATTTCCATTCAAATGAACGAAAAAGATAGTAAAACAAGTGAAACAGAAAGAAATGGATAAGCATGAAATAGTTAAGTGATCTGTAAGTCTGGGCAGCTCAACACTGTATTTTTCTAAAGAATTTCAGTATAAGGAAGGAATGGGATGCATTTCAAAATCTGCATGTATATGTTAGATGTTGACCTTACTTTTGTGTGGTTTTTTTTTAAAGTGACTATACATCAGTGCTGAGTAGCTTTAGTCTATACTTTACCAGTTGTCTAATGTCACACAGATGTCATGGAAGAAAGAATTCTCTTCCAGAGGGACTCCAAGGAGGTGACAGTGAAAGTCTCCAGACCTGCTAAGGGACAGGACAGTGGGGAGGAATAAGCAAACGGGTTTGTGCACAAAGGCAGCGTCAGTATGAGTTATGAGCTGAAATAAACTATTTTTACTAAATTGATTCATAAATTACTGCCTAGAACTTAAGTTATTATTCTAGAATTCCCATGAATTCGTATTCTGTGTCTGGCATCAGTTCAGAATTTGAAGAGAGTTCCATAGTTTTTGCTTCTCAAGGAATAAAATTAAATACATAGTTTCTCCTAAGGCTCTGGACCTATTTAATGAAGATCAGTTTTAAAAAGCCACAAAGACCTTCAGTGGAACACTTCTTTTCACAGAAATTGGGATATTCTTAGCCTATAGCCTTTATTATAAATGGAAGATAAAGAAATGAAATTCCACTCACTGAACCCTGAATAAAGGGAGAGGCCCATTTTTACTTCTCCTGCATACCCGGTTACTCATCCTATACATGCAGTTCCTGCCCAGCTCTAATACATCGCCCCTTAATACTTTGTCTTTTACGAATCTGTTAGCAATTGTCACTTTTAAGCTCTGTTGGTTTGTAAAGTCACGCTCACGTTCTGTGACACCTGCAAAGGTTTTCAGGGGGTCCATTATCATTCCCTCAGCTGGAGTGAAGCGAGTGTTCTGACTGCTTTTAATCAATGTCTGTTCAAAGGAAAAGAGCTGGTGTAAACCACCTCCTGTGTTTGTTAGTTACTAAAGCCTCTTCAAAATTTATTTTGATTTGTGGTTACATTTGACCTCTGATTGCTTTAAAACATCAGGCTGAAAGCTGTTTTCTAAATGTTTTTGACTTTAATTCTGTTCCATCCATAGAATCGAGCACAGTGCTCGATTTAGACTACAAAGTCTAAACAGAGAAATTATTTTTCAGAGTGTAATATAACATTGCTGGTGTACATTTACTTTTATTTATTATTTTATTGCAGATCTTTCACCAAAATCTTAGTTCTTCTATCATATGTAAAATATGTGGATGCCATTTTTACTGTGAATGTTTTTAATCAAATGTTAATCAATTTTATTGCTTGGCAATTTGTCTGTAATTTATTTCCCCACTTTTATATAACAAACTATTACATATGAGCTTACAGTAGTTTTATAGACAGTTTCTTATTATAACTTACCACCCTAGAAATGTATTCCTACGCAGCCCCAGAAAAGATTTATATCAGATATAATAGAGATTAAGCAGGTTCTTCTAACTCATCCATATTCTCATTTCTTACTTTATTCTTGCCACTTTTATCTATCATGCATACCTACTCTGCAATGAATTCTAGCAGTACAAAATTGGATTTTCTCATAAAATTTTTATTCATGAACAATCAAACACAAAAACAAGGTTCTTTATATTTTAAACTACCCATTCTAAAGTAATTTCCTGATCACCTTCACCAGCCTATTCCTTAAAAAGCCTATGAAATCCTGTGATCCAAAAAATTGGTGCATTCCTTGACAAACAAGAAAAAGCTGTATCATAATTTCATAATATATGAGGCTGCCTATTTTAGTATCTTTATACTGACCAAGACAGATAATTAGATTTGGCACTATTACTAATCACTGTTTCTGCAAATAGAGAAAACTACTTTTCAGACTTTCTTAATGACAGGATCTGATTGCATGCCTAATTATCTATTTTGTAGGTTTAATCTTTCATTATAATGACAATAACTTTTTAAATTTAATATATAAATATCACATATATAGATATATAAAATATATATAAATATATTCCATTGTGCTTCAGCATCAACTGGTGAAGCACAATGATTCAGTGTGTAAAGATTATCAGGAAAGTAATCGTATGATATGTTTAAAACATATGTACTCCATCCATCAAAACTGTGCCAATGAGAAAGTATTCCTACCGCTTCTAGTTAAAGTCATGGTAAGATTGGAAAAGAAGAAAAAGGGCATCCATCCAACTTTAGTCATCTAACTTAGCCACACCTGTGGTGAGAGAAAGGATGCTGGCTCCTTCAAGGGATGGAGCATCTTTATTGAGTTTCTGTTCTGACCTGCCTGATGGAGAAGTCACTCCCTCATTACCAACAGAGACAGGGCCCTCGGGGAAGCAGCTGAGGCCAATCCCTTCGATATGCTGAGTGCTCTTCTAAGGCTAGCATTTGAATTTACAGAAACAACCCTAATAGCTAAAGTTATATATCAGTAATTTTTTTCAGGTGAAGTCTGCTCTGCAGAATTAACTACAAATTAGTTACATTGTCTTCCCACCCCCAAGAAACTTCTCCTATAATATCAAGTGAGGTCACCTCCTTAAAAAGCCTATCATCCAAAATTAAAGAAAGTGGAGGAAATTTCAACAAATATCCCACTAAAAATTCAGCAATCTTAATTCTTTCAAATTCAGCATTGCACAAATCCTGCTACTGAAACTGGAGGTAAAGTTCCTTACTTTATATGAATACACAAACTTCAGTATATAGTTTATGTGTGCTGATTAATGTTTACAAAATTTCTATATTCTGCAAAAAAGAAAATGCTTTTTTACTAGCACTGAGTTAAAGATTTCAACAGGTTCTTACAGTAAAGGATTAATACCTTTTGTTCCCAGGTAATTATTTTCACCATATTTAGACTAGAAAGATTATAGTATGAACTTTCATGACACTAAATAGGATATCTCACCTACTACTGATGAAACAAAATTACTTTAAATCTTCTTTAGACAAGGTGTGTTTAATGGCAAGGAATGACCTACAGAAGTAGAGAAGTAGTAGACAAGAGTTCCATTTTCCTGTCCTGCTAGTATAGGCCTTACAATACTTGCTAGACTTGTACTAGTACTTGCACTAGTCAACCTTGGCAGGATAGAAAAAACATTTGGTTTTTATTCAAGAGCAGTAGAAAACATACAGTATCAAAACATTTATGGAAAATATAAGTAAACAAACTACCGAGAAAGAGAATTCTATAGATTGTTTTGATTGTGAGCAAATACTAAAAGCACTTCTGATAGTAGAAAGAAAAATGTAAAAGAACTATTTCTCTTTTTAATCTAACCAAATAGTTACATGTGAAAAGACAGATATTTTTCAGATAATTCTTTTTAAAACTGGAAATTGATGAGTGAGGGGAAAACACCAAACACACACAGATGTCAGTTTCTATTTTTCCATTGTCCTTAGCTTTCCTTCTAATTTTAGTGCTATTGTCAGTTCCAGGACTGAGAATATTGTTCAAACTGGAACTGAAGCAGAATTTTCAAATACATCTAACATCTTTAAGAAATTTAGGTTATTTAAACTTTGAGCAATGTACTAAAGCAGTTTCCATTAGCATGCTTCCCCAGTTTCAATTTTCACATTTTAGCTGGTGATGCTTTCTAACCAATAAAGAGTTAATATCCTTAGTTGTTTGAAAGGTGATTTGCAACATTTAAGATGGTATTATGCATTGTTTTCTGTCTTTTGATATATTAATCATAACTGTAGCCCCTTCTGTTACAAATGTTTGATTTTAAAACTGTCACTTGTCAGCCAGTCCAGTAGGCTATTTCAGAACCAATACAGTTTATGCATGGGAAGTTTGATGTTGAAACAATATTTATTTACATTCCCAGAGTGAGATGGTTTAATATATTCATGCTGCTATAAAAGACATGCTACAAAGCCTAATCGTATTTTGTGTATATACTATGTGTACAGAGAATCTTGCTTGTATTAAAATAAAAGAGAAATGAGGTTCTAAGTATCAATTTATAAAACAGTTCTTTGTAAAATATTGCAGTGTTTTGAGAAGAACTATTTTAAGGAAACTAACTATTGGTAAACGTCCACAGAAATGACCCTTTCCAAAATTCAATGTAATAATTCCCATCTATTTTATTTATGTTTGCATTTCATAGCTTGCATCCCCTTCCTACGCTTGCCGCAGATAAGGGGAAACTAGAGCAGACAGCAGTATGAGTTGTCATTCAGGCACTGACCTGCTGTAAATACAAAAGCAGAAGGAGAGTTAGAAATTATACTACCCTTCCCCCAACCATGACTTTTCTGCTGCAACCTGTGGCTCTTTCCCATCAGAACAGCTGGCAGATTTTAGTGCTGCCATAGCAACCCTGCCGTCAGCCCGTTGGCTTGGTAACATTGCAGCAGGAAGAAAGAAAGGCACTTCACGTCTGAACTGTTCTTAGACTCACTGAGGTATTTTTTCAGGTTGCATTCCCAAGTCCTTATTTACTGTTCAATTTAATAAATTTTGCAATGAAAAATCCTATACAGTCCTTATTTGCCAATGAAATCAGGTCATCTTCTCTAGAATCTTGCAAAGAATTAATATCCATTCCTTGCAATGTCATAGCAGATGGATCAAATCTCTGCAGCAGCTTCAACTGATCAAGTGATAGTCCAGCTCCCTTCATGCCTTCTCCTCCAATGTGAGGTTCCTGGTCAAGGAACAAAGAAAAGCAAATTATTGTGTCTCTAAGGTTCTTAAATGCCCTAAACGTATTCTGCTGAGGATATGCAGATACTGAACAATTAACGTGAGCAATCTATCCTTGTATCATTTGCACCAGAAGAGTCAGAAGTAATGTCGCTTCTTTTCTTGCCCTCATCTGGCTAATATTATACAAATATACAAGATTTATACAAGACATATACAAGTATTTTGAGGAGGTGGTGATGCCCCTCATCCACTTCATCTCAGTAGTTTAGAGCCCTTGTTGAGGATAGGTGCACAGGTCTAAAGCGATTCATCACTCCAAGGGCTGAAACATCCCAAGAAAGCTGTTACCACCAGACAGCAACTCGAACGGGTTTAGGTTGCCACTTCTAAATGAGGTAGCACTTCTGTGTACGGACTTAAAAGCTATGAGTTAAGTCAAAAATAGTGAGTCCTTAGCCCATTACCAGTATCATCAGTAACAGCAGCAGAATCCCTGAGACAAACAGGTTGGAAAAGACTTCGGAAATCATCAAGTCCAACCTATGACCTAACACCACCTTGTCAACTGTACCAACTGCAATCCAGTCTTCCTTTAAACACCCACAGGGACTGTGACTCCACCACCTCCCTGGGCAGCCCATTCCAACACTCTATCTCCCCTTCTGTGAAGAACTTCTTTGTAATGGCTACAGTACTGGGATTCTTCACAGTAAAAACTTCAACTGAAGACTAAAAGCCCCAGTCCAGAGTATTTTACTGCCTGAAGAAGCATCATTTTGGCAGATGATGCAGAAGAAAAATATAACTTTGTGTTTTCTAGTCATGTAATAAGACTAACAGGTAAATGGGACTACTGTTACATATGCATGTCTGTGAGGCAGAGAAAAAAAGAAAGAATCAGTTTCAAGAGATGACATTTGGCTTCAAAATCCTGGAAAGGAGAAGGACTTAAAATCCCAGACCTTTTCTCAGTATTTTTTGTGAATAGCCATGACTGGTTCTTATTTAATACCCTAATTCCTAGAAAAAAATTAATTCTTGGCTGGTTTGTTCTTTCAATGCATTCAGTAAGGAGATGGAACATATCTGCAATATCAAAAATAGATCTCCTTTGTCAATCTAGTTTAATGTAGTCCATAATGCAGCCTACAGCAGAGCGTTTTTTCAGCCATCACACTTTGCTAACACATGAGATCACCCAGTCAGCACATGATGCGAGTTAGCTGCTTAACCACGTACTGCATGCTGCAAAGCTGGGCAGCCAAGGGGCTGCAGACTGATTCTTCCTTTCCCTCAGCAGGATTTCAGTGCTTTCCAGGTAAAAGATAGAGGTGTCTATTGCAAATTGAGAGAAAAGTAACGTACAAAAGGAGATGAGGGTAATGACTTGATGTAATAGAAGGAAAAGGTAAAAGTCTAGGGAAAACAGTATTCCACAGGTTCAAGTAACTTGCTTAAAGGCAGACCAGTGTCTTCCTCTACCTTTTCATTTTTCCTTCCAGTTAAGTTAATTGCATTTAAGTTGATCTACTGTGTAAACTCCTAAGAGGAAGTCTGCACAAAGGAGCAGCTGCCATGTGGTAACCTCTACCTATAGCAATGCCTATGGCTCCATCTCCTGTTTTTTCCTTGCCAACATTACCCAGTATGCTTCCAAATGTTGCCAAACTCAGAAAGTGGGAAACAGTGGACTGGATAAAAAAGGAGGTGTCCACTGAGAGTAAAGAATATGGGAAATAAATACATAAAGGAACATGAGGAAAGTAGACCCTAGACTCCTGTTTCATGTCCATTGGAAAAGAGCACCTTAGTTTAAACTAGAAGGGAACTGGTTATAAGGTATTATAAATGATATGTGGGTAAATAATTCAGTGTCATTTCATTTAAATAATGCTATACATAAAAGATTAATTTTTACAGATATGGCATTTGTGTGTGAAAAACGGACAGAAGTGCTTTATTCAAGACTAATACTACTGGTGAGAGAAAGTCTATAAAGCAATAATTAATCTTGCATTTGAGTTAATAAGGCTTGTGTTTTGCTTTGTCATTCTATCAAGGAGAATTGTTTTATGCTGTTAGGTTAAATGTACAATCTCAGTTGAAACGTCTGGAACTGAAAAATTCTTAGTCAGTGGAGGGTGAGAATACAGACAGAAGAACACACCACAGAAAGCTTCAGTTCTGTTAAATCCTTACCAGCCATCATATTAATTTCTCATTGTAGAGCCATTGTATGTATTTTTTTTAATTACACTTTAAGATTTATATAAGCTTCTGAAGACAGGTACAAGTCATCACAGAATGTGTAAGCTGAACAGGTATCAGAGTTTTCCTCAAAGCCACTATGATAAACAACTACCCCACCCAGCTCATCTCATCATCAAAGAGGAAGTGGGACACACATGGTCTGATGATAAACCCCCCTGAAGTAGTGTTAAAGGTAACAGATATTTCTGAATTGTATGAACTGTAACTAGTGTAGATAAAAAAATTCTATTATCTCCCTATATATTACCTCCTCCCAGACATTTTCAGAGTAGACACTAACTCCAAAAAAGACAAGGTACACTATTGGGACACTGAACCTGAAATAATTTCTTTCCCTCATTTCTTTTAAATAAATCAAAAATAGCTCCCATACATATAACATCCTCCATCTTTGAAACACTGATTTATTTTAATTTCTATCCCATACATTACATGCAAGTTTTCATGACTTCAGTGGCAGTAATAAAAAGAAAACAACTTCGCCCCTCCTGTGAATGTGCAAAAGGAGAGAATAAAATATATGCATTAAAAAAATTGCAAGAGAAATTTTAACCTGTCCGACCCATCTTTTGTCCCTGTTGTGTTTTAAAAGGACTTGTACAAATCAAAAAAAACCCCACAATACACAGCAGGAAACTACTTAATGATGCCTAAATAAAGCTCAATTAAGCACAAAAATAGACTTTAAATTCTTTCCATATCTGTCCATGGTGAAAAAAAATGCCCTGAAAATACTATTACCTGTGGATGAAGCTGGAGGCATGGAAAAGTTTTCAGGGCCCAAGCAACTTGCTCCTCATTTTCAGAAAGTGTAATTGTACATGTACTATATACTAAAACACCTCCTGGCTTCAGCAGCTTTACTGCCTGCAGGGAGAAATAAGTAATTTTTCAGCTTATTTTTAAATTTAAAACTTTCAAATTAAGGAACATTAACTAATAATCCATGTATCTAGAATATTAAAACTGAGCACTTAATTAAACTATTAGGATACTAATTCCTCTCAGGGAATACAGCGAAGGATAACGTGGATTAGAAAGATTCTTCTTTCCAAATAGGCATTATAGCTCATGCAGTTCATTAATGTCATTGAGATGATTCACCTTGTAAGATCTGTTATTTGTACAGCTCTCCATATCCCAGACAGATTAGATCTGTTTTCACCACCTGCTGCCAGCCATGGATACACAATACTTATGTCAGTTTTATTAGATGTCAACTGTTTCCATGTATTTGGCATGGAAGCTGTATCTATGCTGCTTTTCAAGCTGTCATTCACTCTGAATATGTATCATTCAGATTTTGACAAGTTTCCTCTTATCCTTCAGCATCAGCCCAAGCACACTCCTTAGCATGTTCCTAAGTCACCTGCTCTGTGACTTAGACCCTTGTGATTATTGTAATGTAAAACTGATGAAACTGAGGGAATTAAAAGAACACAAAGTTTTTTATTTCCATATAGATTACATATACCTTTCCCATGCTCCAATGAATTGGCTTCACCTAGCAACAGATCTGCTGGAGCTGAGAGGTTACAAGGACCCTAATACTTCCTGGCTGCTGAAAAAGTAGGGAAAATGAGGTACCGTTTTCTGGGTAAGTTTTATGCAGCAAAAGCATTTATGTTCAATTTAGTTTATCTACTCAATGTTTAACACATACCACAGTGAAAAGCTTGCGCTGGAGTGGCTGGTATGAGGTCACTTCCTTTAAAGTTGAGGAATAAGCCATGTTTGGTCTCTGTCCCATCCCACTACATGGAGCATCAAGAAGAATTCGATCAAATGACTCTGGTAAGAATGGAGGCCCTTCTGTAAAAAGAAGTTAGTAGTGTAAAATGTGGCTGTTTCCTTCCTTGAGACTTCACCATAGGTAAGGAGAAGCTGTTACTACTTCCATGACATAAAACATTTATGTGCTATGGACAGTGTCTCCAAAATTAGTCTCAGCTAGAGACAAGTCTCAGCACTGCGGGTGGTAGTTTTCATCTCCCAGAAAACTAAACAGTTTAAGTTCTGTGAGCTCAAAAATGATCCCTCTAGTTTTAAACTTAATTTAAACTTAATAAATTTTAATTTTTAATTTAAACTTAATAATAAAAAAGAGGTGCTGGGTACACCTAGAGTTGTACACCTGTAGAGTTGTACATATAGGCTGTAAAGAACCATAGTCAGCTCAAAAGTGTGCAAACCTTTACTGAGAGAAACCTGTAGTTAATCATTGAGACTGCCTTATAATAACTGGACTGTCTATATATTAACTATTTCTTGTGATGCATGCATAGCTATATAAAATAAAGCATTTCATAATAACATGAACTTCTGCAAGTTCTAATGTGTGAGATGACATGCAGCCTCCATGACAGACCAATTCAGTAAAAAAAGGATTGTGAAAAGAACAATTTCTGACTATCAGCTGGATGATAATATGTATCTTCTCTAAGCAGAGCCTATACTTTAATCTGTAGCTCAACAGCCCAGAAGTTTCTACCTCCTCAGTGCCAGGGAGCTGCCAAACTTGTATCATCATACTACTGCTGCCTAGCTTGTTCCTGCAATACAAAATGAGTCTAACTGGTTTATCTACCTCTGATCCATTACTAAAATGTTCAAAATATATAAAGTGTTACTTTCAGGGATGTACAGAAAAGCCTTCATTATCTCTCAGTATTACAGCCTGCTCTTGTTCATCTCTAATTGCTACTTGCCACCTACAATATTTGATGTTCATAAGACTCTTAAGAAAGTACCTTTGTTCCTCCAAAGCAGGAATAACTGCAATGCAAAGGGACAAAGAAGGTGAATTATGTAATCTGATTCCTACTTAGGCTAACCAGTGACTGAGATAAAATAGACTGAGAAAGAACAGCATACTTTGCACAACAAACTAAAAATAATCAAGGCAGCAGATACCATTTAAATCATTCCATCATGGGAACAGAACCAATATCATAACTGCATCACTTCAGAAAAGCAAATGAAATTACTTAAAATAATACTCTGTGCTTGTATATAACTTTCCCCTAAACAGCTGAACAAACATCAATGAACTCAACCTTGCAGCACTCCTGGGAGTTAGGTATTAATAACCCCATTTTACTGATGAGGATTATGAGGCAGAAAAGCAAAGCAAGTCTCCAAAAATAATTTTTTTCTCAGACTAGCTCAGAAAATTCCCAGTATGGGGTTAAATGTGATCATGAAAGAAGCTTTAAGGCTTCTTCAGTCTGCAGTATTATCTGGGAAAGGAATGCATTTCCTTTGAGAATATTAGGTTGTGACAAGGACAGATAATTTGACCTTTGTATCTGCTTCACAGAGAAGCTGATAATCACAAAAGAATAGAAAATAAAAGTGCATTCACACTGCTGAAGCAACTTAGGTATCTGCCAAGATTTCAAGGACTTGCAAACCTGCGACAGGTTTAATAATGTCTTTGCAAAACATTACTATTTTCTTCTAAAAGCTACTACTACCCAATTTTTTTTCTTTTTACCTTGTTTATCCTCTCTCTTCTCAACTGAAAGGGCCTTTATCCCATCAAAGCAAAAGGCCTTAATGCAATTCAACTGTAGCAATTCAGCATTCTGCTTGATTTTCTTGACCTTGTTAGCTATCTTGTCCATGGCTATTACTTCACCCTGAAAAATATGCAGAGGTTTTCATCAAGGGCATAGGGATTACATGGATGTTCCCGATTTCCTTTCCTCAACCCTGGGCAGTGTAATAAATAAAGCACAGTCTTCCCTACAGAATCGTTTTATTCTTAAATCCACACTCCTGCAGTCCTTGTTCCCACATGTTTTCCACAATTGCCGCACTAGTCTGAAGCTGTGCACATTCCAACTGCATGTCACTGTTACTCTAAGGGATGGTGTAATACCTGACTTCTGGCAAGTGGTTTTGTTGTTTGTTTCTTTTCAGTTATTTTGAACTGCTTAACTGGGCACGAAGATACAAATTTAATCATTTGAAAGAGGTTAGAAGCCTCAAATACACAGTAAAATAGGTTAACAGGTTTTAAATTTGTATTGTATGGAGATGGTAGGAAATATGATCACACTACAGCTCAGTGCTGAGGAAATGAGGCCCACATCCATGTCTCAAACTTGCTTAGACTCATAACATACTGGAACACTTGTGGTACTTGTCACTCATGTTACTTCCGGAAATAGTGTAAATACTAGAGTAAGTTTGGAGGTGAGGGGAGAGAAATCACAATTACTCGTGATTTCTTTTATGTAAAAGTAAGATTTATTATTTCCTTCCCCCCAAATAAATCAAAAAAGACACACACCACTACCTTCTACATGAAATCTGTGAAGACAAAGGAAAGTTAACAGTAGTACCAGTAAAATCCAGAACAACCCAACAACCAAAAACTTATACTAGACTTGTTACAGCAAATGCAGTATGCCGAGAAAACAACTTTTTTCTATTTCGTGATGTCTCTCCAGAGGCTTATAGAATGGTAACATGACAAAGATAGTTTCAGAAGTAAAATAAATCAGTAAAGATAAGCTGTTATCTGTATGTCATGTTAGGCAATATGTAGATCTAGGACTGAGAGGTAAGAATAAATTTAGATTGTGTCAGTGGTGTCCAGTCTTCAGCTACTGTGAGCCAAATCACCTCCTACAGGTGCACCCAAGAACCACATGCCACTGCTTGTCCCCTAACACCATCAACCTATTGGACATGTACACTAGGACCTGACATTGCTTCAAAGTTTTGTCTGTTTCAAGAACAGTAGATTTGCTGTACATCTCTGCATACTGAAAAGACAAAGAGATGACAGAATCATACAATGGTTTGGGTTAGAAGGGATCTTCAAGATCATCTAATCCAAGCCCCCTGCCATGGGAAGGGACACCTTCCACTAGACCAGGTTGCTCAGAGCCCCATCCAAGCTGGCCTTGAACAGTTCCAGGTATGGGCTATTCACAGATTCTCTGTTCTTTTCTCCAGAGAAAGGAACAAGCTGGAAGACAACTCTTCTCCATTTGGCCCATGCCAGCCACTGCCAGAGAATAACTGCTTAAAAGTCATCTGGAAAAAACAGCAGTCTAGACTGGGATGTAGATAATAATAAATTCTCAAGCTTTAACTATTCCCATTTCTTATTTAAGAGCTCTTAACATTACAGAGTAATTTTACATCTTGGTTACATCATTTAAAAACAATATAGTAATGTTTACAATTATATCATAAAAAAGTAAGAGTGATTTAAATATTCTGAAATGTTAATGGTTTAATATGCTGTCTGTGAAAAATTAGTATCGAAAAGCTGTGAATTAAAAATTTAAAAAAAAATTTAAAATCCAAAAAGAAGTGCTTTTTTCCATATCTTTATCTTCCATGTCTTAAACTAAAATTATATACTCAGAAAACGAAAATCAAGTGAGATAAATATTCAACATCTGTATTTTTAATCTTTACCACTTCGGCTACAGGTAGGCACAATCAAAATATGCACAGTGGCTAAGGAAAAAGCAGTTCTGCAAAGTTATACAAAATGTAGATACACAGATGGAAAAAAGTATAGATGTAAATGAATCCATGACATAAATACATGATTTGCAGACTTCCTTTGTTTATCACACTGAAATTCTTTACTGGAAACTTTATATATGTGTATAATAAATTCCTAATGACCATCTAATGCATTTTTAATGCTTTCTGCCATTATTCCATACTGAGGGAAGAAAACAATTCTGCAGACAAACCGTCACAGAACTGAAAACATGCCTTTTCTCAATACATTGATACCATTACAGGCTGTGCCTTCACATTTATGCACAGGCAACTGTCAAAGTCCTGCATAATGTAACTGCAAGACTTCTAAACAACCTGATATATTCCAGTAACCCTATTCAACAAAAAAAAAAATGAAACCTTACAAAATTTTAGAAGAAATATGACATGCTTTTCCCCTATGCAAGAGAAGAGTAAGCTGCATTTCTGTATTTCACTGTGCACATAACATTTTAACATATGCGAAGTTGTAATCCTATATCTACATTCTTATTTTATTACATTCTCCTTTCCTTTGTCTTTCTCTACATGTTTTTTTTTCATTTCTTCTAATTTTTATTACTTTCTCACGAGATAGTTTTGGATTTGTGACATTCTACCACAGAATGACAAATTCAGACTAGAAATTCAGCCTAAAATCATATCTCTATCATATTCTATGCAGAACTGATAATTTTTACTGAGAGAAATCCTCATCAAATTAGGAGCTTTTTAGTAAGTTTTTGTAGAGAATTTTGTATTTCTTTGGTGCACATTTTTATACATCTCAGTTTCATGAATCCAACATATTCTTGCATAACTATGCTTTGCATGTAAAAAGTTCTATGATTAAAAATAATTCAGTAACATTTTAAAAAATGAAAATAAACATATTTTAACTGTCAATTTGTAGCAAATAAAGTTCTAAAGCTGATGGTGAATACTTGATAAAGACTGTCAGTTGCCCATTTCAGTAACTCTGATATGTAAAATACATTGGTAAGTAAAATGTCAAACTATTGTTTGTTGCTGTAAATTATTTGTGCATTCCAACAGTTAAGTGAAGAGAGCTATATAAATGAACAGTGGTCAGACTTCCTTCCTTAGGAAATACCAAATTACTTCTCCTACCTGGTCATGCATCAATGTTGCAAGATGGGTTGTTTTTCCTCCAGGTGCAGCACACATATCCAAAATTCTCTCCCCTGGTTGAGGGTTTAAAACATGGCTCACAACCACAGAAGGTAAATTCTATCATAAAAACAAATACGGGAGAATTCAAACTTTATAACCTGCATTGACTTCTTTACTAAGGAATGGCAAACACATTTAAAAAAATAATTCATTCAGCAGTGAAGATACCTATGATATTGCTCAATTCTTTCACAGAAAATGAACTATTTGCATTATATATAATGGACAGTTTACGTCAGAAGTCCCCAGTGTCTCATTTTTTATTGAAAGTTATGTCTGAGTATCTATGATTGAAGTTTAAGAGCTCATGACTGAGGAGACTACAGTTCTAAAAGTCCAAATAAAATAAGCTGATACTGGCATAGAGGAGAGCAGCTCTGTTTATTACAAATCTTTTATAGTAACCTGTTTATTGGAACATTTACTGTATTAACATATTGGTGCAGACAAAGAACAGTAAGATCAAAACACAGAAGTCTAAGCTTGCTGAACTAAAGTAGCAAGAAGCTATACTGTGCTATTAATTGTATAAACAGAACAGCTCCACTGAAGAGAAATAATGTGCAAGAATTGTGGACAGTACTGCACCTTAGACAATATGGAAATACTTTCTGCTTAGTTCAACACAAAAGTATAAAAACCTTTTAAAGTTGTATTTGGTACTTAAATAACAGCTTCAAGTCAACCTAATATTTGGAGATTTTCCTGATTATCTACAGAATGATGTACTATGAAAGGGACTCATATTCCAGAGTTCATAAGCAGATTCCAAAGACTAATAGTTCTATACAGAGTATCTGTGCAAGAGGAATTTCTATGTTTTTAAGCAAATACCTCTTATGTTGTTTTGAAATCTCTTATCATATCTCAGACACAGTATGATTAAACCACCTACATGTAGATACTGACTTCATTTTAAATGCTTTGTGTTCCTCAAATCCAAAAACTGAATTAGGTGCTACAACGCACAAGGAATGTAGAAACTATGAATGTGTGCTAAGAGAATATTCATTATTCTGTAAATAGTACAGACTTTTTGGTTTTGGAACAAACATACCTGTAAAAACAAATGACTAGGGAGCACATTGTCAAATGAAGGACTGAGGTAGACTGGCTCTGTCACTCTTACACCCAGCCCCCTGAAAAACATGAAAAAAAAAATCAAATACTCCATTTTATACATTTTAACGGTAGTCAAAATCATTATACTTACAAACAGCAACTTGAGACAACAATCTTTCATTTCTTAAATGAAATTTTCATTTCAAAAAAGAAAGAACAACCAAGAAAAATACCTCTATGATTTTGTAATATGGTATTTTTTAAAATTACATCATTAGGTTGAGTAAATCATGGCAAAAAATGCATTACAATACAAAATGGAACCATCACCTGCATAAAGCAAATTTGTGGTTCTGTGCACAGGATAAACCAAGATGTAATCCTACTTAAGATTTTTCTCTACTTCCTAAATTCTAGATATTTCAGCCAAATTACTGTAGAAATCCTATAGGAAAAGCCTTGCAGGAACATTGATTTGCCTGCAAACCTATGGTTTAAAATTAGAAGTCACCTAAAAGTTTTAAATATGGATGAAATTCTGATGCCAATTTAATTGTTAAACCAATGTACCAGGAAATGGATAACAATAAAGAGAACACTGAAAAAGCAACACTGAGGCTGCAAAGGATTACTAAAGACAACAAATATTATTTTGAATATGTACCAGACAATCCAACAAGAAGGAAGGATATGAGAAAGCCAAATTGCAGACACCAGATTTAGTGTTACATACTGCTGTTCCTTGTCACCAACTCAACAGGTACATCCTACCACTATTTCTACTATATTTAAGCTCCCATAAAATAGAAATTCTCTGGCAATGTACTTTTTTTTCACTAGAACTTTTGTAGTTTGTTCTCAGAAAGTAAAGTCTTGGCCATTAATTTGACATCCATAGTCTTTTACATTACTTCTTATGTGTGCTTTAGGTGACACAAGAATAAACCATATGCTTCATCAACAAAATAGAAAACAGAAAATAGAAAAGCAAGTAATCTTGAAACAGGTAACTATTTTGGCAAATGTTACTAATTTTTTTAAGATAACTGACCTTATGTTCTGTCCTTTGTCCCACCAAAAATAAAAAAAAAGCCTCTACAGATATTTTTAAAAGATGGAGAAATTGAAAAGGCTGCTTTTCCGTCCAAAGAGCGAAGTAGTACAACACAATTTACCAAAATGCGATTTTCCCAGAGTGAGAGCATTTGTCAGTTCTGTTTGATATTATTGAACTGAATAAACATAAATTATTAAAAGACTCCCACTTATTTTCTCCTGTCTCTCAAGTAAATTGGTATCTGGATCCTACTATGAGACTAACGGCTTCCCAAAAAATATTGGAAATCCCAACATGCAAACCATTTTGTGACTTCACATAGGGTACAAAATAATTCAAAGTGTTTCCCTTATTCTTCCTTCACTTTGCAAATTTCTACATGTAGACTGCAATAACTATGGACTTACTTCAGTGGGCCACTTGAACTGAAGATTTCACTGCGACTGAGTTCTGAAATCCCGTTTCCGAGGAAAACTTTGACTCCATCAAATTCTTTGGCTCCTCTCTTGCACTTCCCTTCAATATCTGAATACACTGAAACCAGATCTCCTGCTTTCACAACTGCACAAAGAAAAATTGAAAGCTTGAAATCATTATGACAATTAGCAAAACAGTAGTGACCAAGTAACTTAGGATTTTCAGTAGACTACACTCTTCTATCATACCAAACACACATTTTCTTAATGTAATCAATGAAGATCAATTGTTATAAAGCTTTAAAGTTTTACACAGTGAATGATGGCTACCAAAGACTGGTGGTACTGAGAGACACCAATCTTCAAGTCAGGCACTGTGTCTTGTTTTCAAAGAGGCTACACAAACCTGCACTTTATTTATCATGACAGGGTCACCCAAAAGTTTTAAGCACACTCTTCAGTCCTCTCTGTGTGCTCCAAGCACACAAGTACATGAAAAAACACTGCTCACCCTTAGTGAACATGGACAGGAGTGCCAAATTTATCTAATGACCTCTCAATAGCTACCTAGAACATAGCTATAGCTGCTTTTTTTCCAACTATTTATTGCTTTGACACAACTGATTATATATTCTTGTTCTGGTCTGGCTCTCTTCCCTTCTTTAAGTTTTTTAAGGGAACTGCTGTTCTCAATAATCCTCTTAGAAAGTTTTATATCTCCAGTTAAAATCCACCAGATCAGTAAAGTATGTCAATATACATCAAAATCTAGAAATGTAATCCTAAAGACTTAACAAACTTTCTGAGCTAGAACAAAAGAAGATAGAAAAGGGATGGTGGTTTAAGTGATTTTACAGAATAGTGAACAAGCACTATGTGTTGACAGGCTGAAAAATATGCTTAAAAATAAAGGCCTCTTCTGATAGCAATAAAAAGAATTGTCCAAAATTGCATTTCTGAGGTGACTGACAGGCTGAAGGAACAAGAAGATACAAGACTAATGGCAAATCAGCTTCCCAAGCACTCTTGGGATTGTACTAGAGAATCCCTTTTTCCATTTTCAAGAGGCCTTCTTATGCCCAAATGCCCTGAAATTCTTTAATTTTAAGATTTTTTGGGTAGTCATTGAAATTACATTTTTTACACTACTTCTTTTTACACAATGTGACACAAAACCTTATGTGATTGCTCAGTATTAATGTCTGCTTAAACTTCACTGAACCTGCAGCAACTTAACTCTTCCATGAAGCATATCCATCAATGATTTTTGCAGTATTCAAACATAAATAATTTTTGCTCTCTGCTGACAATCATCCTTTCTAAATACACTAGTCCTGCATAGAGTTCTTAAGCTTTCTGCAGATTATACCAGCATTTCATAAACATAAAGGTTATAGTTTGATTAGTTAAATTAAGCTAAAAGCCCCCTGATCATTAGTTTACCCTTATTTGGATTGCATTGCAGTGATTAAATGTGTTCTTGCTGTACTATTTTTTTTCCTTAGACCACAAGTTAGACCATCTGTGCTTAATACAGCTTTATTATATTTGGCATCAAGTGGGTAGCATGCCCTTTTATTTTATTTTCTTATTATTTAATTACATGCAGCAATTATGATAAATCACTAGCTGACTCAAAGAAGGATTTGAATATTTATGGGGTTGTCTAAATAAGCAGTTTCAACAACTGCTATGCCAATATACTTATTTCATTATCAAGCCCTAGATTGAAAAACATTCCTGTTCAGTGAATTTGACTTAAGCACATGCTTAAAACTTCTTGAAGGTTTTTTCCTGAAAGGAAACTAAGTGACTTGATAAATGCTTTTCTGACTCTTTTTGTTTAATAATAAAAATCAAGATAATCACTAGATCTCATCACAATAGAATAATAAGGTGAATCATCCAAAATTATACTGATTTTACATAAAGTTAACTTGACATTTAAATAACAAAAATAGGTTGCTGAACAAAAATCATGCATATGTAGATTTTTTTTTATCTTGTCTCACAGGCACTGATTAATAATTTCCATTTCTTAAGAATCTGACATAAAAACTGAAGATTGTTGCGATCAATGAAAAGAAGATTTTTACTATATCTCTCTTACATAAACAATATCAAATGAATTGCCAATGGATTAGAAAAAAGAAAATCTGGGTTTTTTTAGATTTGTAACTTAAAATCTATCAGAATCATGAAGGTAAGTGACTTTTTGACTGATTTGTAAGCTTATTCAACTTAACATCCATATTAAAAGTTACAGTATTCAGTAGTAAAAAAACACTCTTAAAAAAACAGGTTTTACTTTGAAAATTCTCTTTAAAAATATTTTGAAATGAAAAACAAGAAATTAAAATCCTTAAGAACTAAAATTTCAGCTACGAATTATATGGGAAAAGGATTTTAAAACAGGCCAGGCCAGTGAGAAATAATTACATATAACTTACTCCAAGTAAAATGAGTGAAAATGAGTGAAAAATAGTGATTTTTTTTAAAAAAAAAAGCCAGAAAAACTTTTAAAAGTGTCATTACCATAAACCATACCTGTAAGATTCATTTCAGCTTAGACTAGAAAACAATTTCATGTCACTATTCATTTATCTATTATCCAAGGGTGATACTTTTTCTGCCATCTTTACAACTTAATTGGGTGTCTTTAGAGAACTCTTACATCTTGAGGTGGACACAATTCCAGGGACATAAACATGTGCTCCTCGAAGTACTGCATATCCACACTGGGCTCCAACTATGACTTCAGATGAGTATTTTTTTAAATCTCGCCTAGAAATACAAAATGTAATTGAGTAAAAAAGAGAAATATACTGAAAAAAAAAAAAAGCCAAATGTTCCCCAAGTAAACTCAAGTTCACAAATATGCATTTTGTCAGATATAATAAAGAAGTTAACTATCATGTATAACATTAAAATATTTATTTTAGTCACAGAGATATCAAATGAAAGAGTCAAGAAGAAAATTAATCCTCAAAATAATGCAGATTCTGGCACATTCTGCCACTATTATGAACCTGGCACAAGTATACAAATAAATTATACTGGGGTGGAGAAATCTATCCCTTCCTGCGTTAGATGATTGTGAAGTGACTTTTTGTGTTTAACAACTGCTGAGTAACTCTTGATTCCACCTGATTTCTTCCAGTGGAAGAAAACTCTTCCTGTACTTAGCTATAGCTCTGTATTCCACTGCAAAAATTTAGTTCCTCTATCTGCTACCTACCTGCCTTACCAGGGAGGATGCTTACACATTTTCCCCAAAAAACATCAGTCTTATAAATAAAGCCTTACCAGGGAGGATGCTTACACATTTTCCCCATAAAACATCAGTCTTATAAATAAGGACAGAAATCTATGTTTTCTTTCATTTTTAAGGACTAAAACTGTGACCTGGTTAGTAAATGGACTGTATAACAGGACATAATACAAACGAAGTTGTGCCTCAGTTACAGTGAGTTAGTTATCATAACTCTTTCATAAGAAATCTGGAAGAAAATTGTGTTAACATTTTAAGGCTAAAAGAATTTTAAGACTTAAAAACTTAAAATCCTTTAAAAACATAAAAGACCGAAAATTTCAAACCTGGGTCCAATAACAGGAATTAATAAAATGTCCTGAAGTTTTGGGTGCTCGAGAACTGGAACACATAGTCCTTTAAATTGCTGTTTTATTAAAAAAATATAATTAGTAAGCACTACTAATAAACCTAATATTTAAATAATTAAACTGAAAACCATTTTTCCATTCATAATTTATAGATGTAGAGCACAAAGCACAAAAGTAGTAGAAACAGTTAAAAGCAGCTGGGAAATAGTGTGCAAAGGGACATTATATATTAGAAGTACTGGTATAAAAGACTAAACATTTAGTGAATTCGGAAATAACAAGACCACAAAGAGATTGCCTGAGAACTGACTTCAGGGAGTGAGAGAGTGTTCTGACATGCATAACCCTATCACTGATTTTTGCTTTCTTCTGGAAGAAGGTTGAGCTGTTGTCAGAACACAGAACACACAGTGACACCATCTTAGAAGTTTGGGTGTATTCTCTGTTAACCCTTAGATGTTATTAGTTGTAAGCCACTGTTTAATTTGTGTATTCCTTGTCTTACTTAATAGTCCAGGCTGGCAATACTTTTCATTTTTCTTGTCAGCCCAAGTTTGGGTACTGATAGCTGACTTACATATTTACCTGAAAAAAAAAAAAAAATGCCATTTTATAAAGGTTCCGGGATTTAAACAAAATTATGTCTTCTCATCTGAGCCTTCTAAAATATAACCTTGAAGTATGTAAAACCATAAATCAGTTTGCATCTAATAAATATTTTCTCTTAAAAAAGGAAAATAATCCATGATCATACCTCCACTCAAAAGTGTTATGTGGTTTCCTTTTCTAACATGTAATAACACTAAAAAATAAACAAAGTTTGTGAAAAACTGATCTTAAGTCAGTTTTCAGCAAAGCCTTTTCCCTTCAAGCAAAATATAACCCTGCAATACCCATTCCCAGATTTCTACAATCAAGCTAAAATTAGCAAAACTCATTACCATCCCAGCCAGCAGAACACTGTCAACTACCTATGCATCACAGAAATGTCTTGGCTCCTGTCATGAAAAAGCTCCCTGTACACCCACTAGAATTAATAATTTACTTAAAGAACCAGATCTTTTTAGACAGAGTGAAGATCTGACACAATTTCAAAATAATACATTTCTTAAACATAATGGTTTACATATCATCAGATAAATAAATGTTTCATTAAGATAAGTAAAAATCCAGAAAATTATATAAAGATTAAAAGCAGGTTTAAAAAAAGAAAATACAGTAGCTGCACACAGGGCATCACTGTGGCTCCAGTTCTCACAACATACCAAATTTCTCCCTTTCCTCAACAGTTTCTCTGATGAGATATAGAGGCCTTCTCCTTCAGTGTTAAATAAAAGTGGTCTAAGCATGCTGAAGATAGCACACTGAGCTACCCTTTTTATCTGTCATCTTCTCTTATAGACTTGCAACACCTTTACATTATTTACCACAGCAGTACCTCAATCCTATCAAGGGTTTGGAATCTGCCAAATGAAAGAGTTGGATGTCTTTTCCCTCTGTTATTGCCTTTCTTGGAGGGATGAGATGAGGGATACTGGTACATAATGAATTTTCATTTAATGTTATATGCTGACAGGAAATCAGTGTGATTGTATGATGTTAATACCACTGGATGCATTGCGGTAAATAAGGTAGAGTTTCCAGTAATGAAAACATCTCATGTTCAGATGAAAGATGAAATGCCCTGCTGTTTTTGCTGTAACAAAGAAATTGCACAAACCTTCTGGATTTCTTCAAACAGCAACTTTTTCACATGTTTCACTGAGGCCAAGTGGGTATTTACTCTTACAGTTGTGAAAGCTGGTGGATGAGATAGATGACTTAACAGAGATTGGTATTTATTCTCTGCCTCCTGTGTACCTAAAGCAGTGATAAGCTGAAAGTGAAAGAAGGGATTTTATATTAAGAGATTCACACAGAAGCCTCTTGCTCAATGCAAAAGAACCCCACTGAAAAAACATCCCATAGATATTGAGGGATATGGTTGTGTGGTGTGCAGTAGTGATGAATGCCTATGTCTGGAAGCCTAATTCCACTGTAAGCCTCATCAATTTTTTGAGAAGTACTTATTGGAAAAACAGCTGTATCAGCAAAATCACTACAAAGATTTTGCAGCAAGTATCAAAGCAACTGCTAGAGAGCTCTCTGCTATTGTATATAGACCAGCCCTAAGGAAATAGAAGAGTAAATTTAAATCTATGAATCAGTAACTTTCATACTGATAAAAATGTATATAAAAAAGCAATTATTTATCCTTGGCATTAGGAATTAACAGATTGTCTGTATTCTACACTGGGGTAAGAGAGTACTTCTTGTCAATATTATGTGGTTAATATGTGCTTAATTATCTACGATCCACTTTTCAGTGGGATCCAAAATGGAATTCTCTTGATTTATATTCCATTTAATTTAAGTATTTGTATGCTACTTTGAGCCAATAGGCATAAATACTAATATTATATTTTAAGTATAAAAAATATTTTATATTAAAAACTCTGTTTAATGTGAAGACAATATTCAATGTAAGGTACTAAAGTTACACAAAAAATTATTATTTTTTGATGGTCAAGGGTAACTGTGTCACATACCTCATTATTTCTGAACACTTTGGTGAGATACTCTTCAACTTCATACAGGAAAGCAATTTTAGGGAAAAAGGACATCTTCCTTTAGGTCTTAAAATCTGCTGGCAAGGAACTGAAATAAGCAAAGTATTTTCTTTGTGATTCCTATCATATTCTGTAAGTTTATAAATAAACTATATTATATATGTATAAATAAACTATATTATATATATTATAAATATAACATAAGGTGTACCCACAAACTAAGCTGTTGGTTCTGATTCTTCCTATTTTAATAATGCACTCAATTTTTAATTTCATTGCACTCAAATTTCCAAATATTGGTCAGGATATAACTGTAACACTACTCTCAATTACAGAAATTCTACTGATCCTTAAAATAAATCTTCAAGCTATCTGGTGAAAAAAATTACATGGGTAAAAGGAACAGGAAATTTCAAGATGTTGCTTTAATTCCTATTGAAAAGCTCAGCTGAAAGTCTTATTGTAGCTCAGTCCTGACAGAGATTTCATTCCTTACCATTTTCCTCTGCAGGTAATAAAATAGTTATCTTCCCAAATGGTATCTGCCCATCTCTCTATTATCGGTATTTTTAAAAATTATATACACTTCAGTCTGAAATAAGACTACCTAAAAATTTAAATTTGCTTACAACTTAAATGGAAGGAAAGAGAGAACATCACTCTAGGTTTATTCCATTCATAATACAGAATTTTGACTACTGAAATACATTTTCATTGTAAATATACTTAGAGAAGAGAGACCAGAATGTTTGGTATTCATTTTATTTTAATAAGAGGCTATTTGTCACTTTTTTCATACAAAACCTCTCAAGAATTTTTTTTTATTTTTAATATTTCTAATTCAATTAAAATCTTAATGCTAGAAGAATGTGACCTTATGTAGACTTACTTTTGAGTCCAGACAAAGGCAAAGTTCCATGGGTAGGAGTTTCAAAGCCTTATTAGCAACATTAGCAGCTATTGAAAGAAACTACAAATAAATTAACTTCTTACAGTCTAAAAAAATGACAAGAATTTACCTTGCTATTGCCACGAAAACTAATAGTAGTACAATAGTAGTATAATCCAACAGTACAACAACAGTCCATTCAACTGAAATCACTGAAACTCAGTATTAACATTTCAGAAAACGTGACATATCATGTACTTGTTATCCTAGAATGCCTACATTACAGGGAAAAAAAAAAAGCAACAACAAAAAGATCCCCATATGGCTCACATTTGGAAAGGTTTTTCTTCAGAAGCATAATAAACTAACCTTTAAAACAAAAATCCCACACTTCTAAATTTCTTAAACAATTGGAATCCTGAAAATAATTAAGCAGACATTTGAAAATGGGCAGAAGTGTGGTGTTTATAAGCCCTATGTGTGACTTCAATATTGACATTATGAAGGCCCTCTTCCAGGCTGGGGAACATAGCTGAGAGGGGACAGAACAGATGCTTAAAAGTTCAGGTACAGCAGGAAGCCAGGCTGATGAGGGAGACTGCCTAGTGCCCCGTCAAGTACAAGAGTCAGATTTCAAACGCTCATCAGGAAGGCTGGTACCTGAGAGTATTTTTTTTTCTCCAGACCTGCTGGGCCGTACACCTTGCCCCAGAAAAAGACTTCAGAAGTAAGCCACTGATTTTCACGCGCCTCTGTGGGGAACTGCAGCGGGGAACGCGATGCCGAGCAGGGCTTTGATCCAGCTACGCACATGAAGATTGCAAGCCGTCACACGCAGCCAGCACCAAAAATGCAGAGCAAGATTTTCAAACCTCCAGGCCCACCCTTTCCCACACGAGGCAAACGACAGTCGGGTCACAGGGTCGTTGTTGTACGGAGCGGAACATGGGGCTCCCTTTTTTATTCCCTCGCCCATCCGTTGCTGAAAACATCAGGGAGCAGCAGAAACAGAACACGCAGCTCTTCGCAGCCCCCCTGAGGCCCTGCGCCTCAGCCCAGAGGTATCCGGGAAGCGGCCGCACCTCAGCCCCAACGGACCCCGAGGCACACACAGGCCCGGGCCGGACCTGGGCCGCCAGAAGGGCGGAGCACTCAGGTGCCAGTGCCCGGGCCGGACCGCGCTCAGTCCTCCCGCGGCGGCGCGCAGCCCCAGCCCCACCGCCCAACACACACCTACCGCCAGGGCCCGCCGGCCCCGCCTCCTCCGGGCCGGCAGCAGGAAGTGCCGCCTGCCACCGCCGCCAAGGGAGGCGGGCACGGCAGCGCCCGCAGCCCTGTGCTCTCATCGCGGCACGGGGAGGGCGGCAACGGAGCCCGCGGGCGGCCGAGCTTATCGGACAAGACGCTGCTGACATAATTCTTTTTATTTATTTAGTATTTTCTCTTTTCGGTTTTCTGAAATTCTGCCAAGTGGATTAAAGTAAAGGGTTTTGTACTTCCAGTGCTTCTGCACCCAAGTGTCCGCGGGCTCGCACTCACTTTCTGACCCTCCCCAAGGTGCTGCTGAGGAAACCCGGGTGGGTACCTACGCAAGAGCTCTCAGTACAGGAACCTGCAGCGCAGCCTTGAAAGCGAATCCGCTGCTTTCACAAGTTTTACTATACACGAGAGTACTGCCTGGCCTGAAACCCTCAACTTTTCCCAGCGGCAGAGGCTGTGGACCGGCCACAGCACCGCCGGGCTGAAGGACAGAAGCACGGCAAAGACGCGCTACCAGCGCCGACCACCCCGGCATCGACCGCCCCGGCGGAGGCCAAGCCCTCGCGGCATTCGTCCCTTGCGGGGTGGCTCCTTCCTCCCGACCGTGCCAACCCCAGACCCTTCGGCGTTCCACCAGCCCCGGTGTCTCCTCGCAACTGTCCCCGCAGACGCACAGCTCCCACCACCGCCGCCGCCATGACGCCGCGGTGACGCGCGCGGGCCGCGCCGGCGGGGGCGGGGCCGTGCGGCCGTTGCGGGGGCGGGGCGGTGCCGCGTGCCCGCCCCCTCCCTGTGCCCGCCCGCTCGGCGCCGCCGGGGCCGCTGTGGGAGCATCCGCCCAGGGAGCTGCGGAGTCGCCGCCGCCTGGGTGAGCTCGGGCTGCCCCGGGCGGTCGGCGGGAAGCCGAGGCCAGTCATGGGCCTAATCTTCGCCAAGCTGTGGAGCCTCTTCGGTAGTCAAGGTGGGCGCGCGGGCCCGAGCCGGCGGCGGGACGGGCGACGAGCGGAGCCCGCGGGGCTGCGGGGGCCGCGGGCAGCCGTGGGCAGCCGTGGGGGCTCGGAGCCGGCTCCGCCTGCCGGGCTTCCCCTGAAGGCCCGCCCAGACAAAAGTTGGGCTTCGCGTTGTGCAGCGCCGTGAGCGCTGGTCCCGCGGCGCCTCATGCTCGGGGTGGCTTTGTTTGAGTTGCCGAGGTCCCTGCTCTCCCCCTCCTCCCTGGCCGCGTTAAAGGCGTCGTCTGCCCCGGGAGCCCTTCGGCGGCCAGGGCTGCTGAAGCTTAGATGGACTGTCCGTCTTGGCTTCGCCGATCGTCCTTTTTAGGTCGGGATCTGTTATTAAAGTCATGTTATTTTAGTCTTTAATTAAAAGGAAAAGAAGAACGCCAAACATGTAGAGGCCTTCGAGGCAAAGATGCTAGTTAAATGCAGTTAGTGACCCAAGAGGATCAAGTTTTCCAGCCAAAAATAAAAAGGTCGTAAGGGGATAGTGCCGCTTTCCATGCTCTCCTCCCCAGTTCATACAGCCCCGCAATCATGGCTCGTGTTCTTATCCAGAGTTCAGAATTTGCATCTGCCACCACCTCTACCTCAGATGGTTATCATGAAAGTAGGAAATTATGGTTTATCTGCTAATTTATTTGTTTTAATGATTTTTGTTTACCTAGCTAGCTTTGGTTAGAAAATTAAATAGTTTACAGTAACATCATTTTGCCTGCTCCAAGCTCAGGGCCTCAAGGAAAAACAGTATGAACAGTAAATTCTTTAATTGTTTTCTCAATTTTCCAAATGTGTACCTCATTTCCACTTAAAAGTTATTGAAAATGTAGATAAGCCTTTTTTGTGCAATGCTCTGTTGCAAGTTGTTGGAGGCAGATACACCTGGTGTACTTACATAGTTTTGTCCCTGTGATTGCATATAACCAATTCTAATTCTGCAGATACCAGAGCAAAGCCTCAGTGTCTGTGCACATTGACGTCTGTGTATCAAACTGTCTTTCATGGGATGGGATTGGGATGCAGTCCCAGCTAATTTGTTTTTCTCATGCATACACCATCCTATCACATCATTCCTGAAGTCTGCTAACAGCATCTTCTGAATTTGTTGCTAATTTCTTGTTTTCCTAAACTGTCAAACCTATTTGGCAAGATTCAGTGTTTCCCTTATCCTCCCAAGAAGTATTAAGTACTTTTGTTTTTTGTTTTTATCACATAGTGCAATCTGCAGGTCCTTTTCTTCCATGAAGTATTCCAAAGACTCCAAAGAGATCTATAAGCAAGGAACTGATCAGGAGATAACAGGTGGCATTTAGTATTTGCCTCTATAGTAGCTTATGATGTCAATATTTATCTTCAGGAAAACACATTGTCTTGGTTATTGTATATTATTTCCTGGAAGAAAAGTTATTCTTCGTTGTGAATGTCCCTGGCTGGATGCCAGATGCCCACCAAAGCCACTCTATGACCCCCTTCCTCAGCTGGATGGAGAGAAAACAAAGCAAAAGGCTTCTGGATTGAGACAGAGATAGGGAGAGATCGCTCACCAGTTCTCATCAGGGGCAAAACAGACTCAATTTTTGAAATTAATATAATTCATTACCAATCAGAACAGGTTAATGAGAAATAAAATTAAATTTTCTGAACACCTGCCCCCCACTCCTCCCTCTTTTTTCCCAGGATTAGCTTTATTTTTGGTTCTCTACCACCTCCCTGCAGGAAGGAACAGAGAATGGGGGCTGTGGTTAGTTCATCCCATGTTGTTTCTGTCACTCTTTCTTCCTTAGGGGGAGGACTGCATCCCCTGTTCCAGTGTGGGACCTCTTCCATGGGAGACAGTCCTCCATGGGCTCCTCCAATGTTTGTTCTTCCCTAGATCTACAATTCTTCACTAACCATTCCAGCATGGGTCCATTTCATGAGGCCCAGGCCTTCAGGGACGGGCCATTCCAGCGTGGATCCCCCACAAGGTCCCAAACCTGCCAGCAAACATGTTTCACAGTGGACTCCTCTCCACAGGTTCTTGCCAGGACTCTGCTCCAGCATGCGTGTTCAGTGGGGTCACAGCTGCCTTTGGAATCTACCTGCTCTAGCATGGGATCCTCCATGGGCTCAAGGTGGATCTCTGCTCCCTCACGGACTTCTGTGGCTCCAGGGGCACAGCTGCACAGATCTCTGGCGCCTGCAGCACCTCCTCCCTCTCCTGCACTGACCTTGGAGTCAGGAGAGTTGTTTCTCTCACATATTCTCATTCCTCTTTTCTCTATCCATGATTACACCTGTGCAAGAATCTTTTCCCATCTTAAATATGTCATCCCAGAGGCATTACACCTGTTGCTGATGGCGTTGGCTGCATAAATGTAGGAGAAGTTTGTAGACTTTCTCACAGAAAACACTGTGTAGCTCTCTCCAATATCAAACATTTTCATTGCAAACCTAATACATTCATATATTTAAATGGTTAATGAAATATAAGTCTCATGGTTAAATAGATGAGATAATACCACAAGATATTTACTCTTTGGCATTTATCCCAATAAGAGACTTTAGGGTGTGTCTTGATCTTGGTTTAGTGCTGGATTTGTCTTTTGTTTCGTTTTTTTTTTTACCTCCTCTTCTTGTGTAACCACAGAAAAGAAAGTGAATTTCTTTTCATGGCCAAAATTGAAATTTCATTCTAGAAAATTTGCTTCAAACGTAAATTTTTGACCTAATGGGAAATTATTCTCCAACTACACAACTGTTTTCTCTAAATAATATTACTATTAGTAAAGCATAGTAATTTCTGAGTTGATTTTGGTTCTCTTCTAGTTACACCAAATTCACAAGCTGTCCTGTGGAGCTGCTTGTTGAGCAGACTAGCACAGTCTGATATTGATTTTGGCTATGCAGAGGGAGTATTCCGAAAATGCAAATAGGATGCACTGTGTTAGGATCATGGTATTGTTCTCATGGCTGGTGTGAGGTGTGTGACAGTCTGCAGCACTTGAGACTGGCAAAAGGAAAGGTGAAACTAAGCAAAGATTTGAAAGTTCCATTAAGTAGAGCGTGGGGAATGAGGTGTGCCTAAGTGTTTCAGCTCTCAATATACATTGTCTCATAGTCACATAGTAATTGAACAATATGAGCTGAAATAAAGATACTTCTACTCTTAAAAGAAACAGTTTGCTTTAAAATAGACTTTTGTCATTTTTCTAGGTGACTTTCTAATGGCTTCCATATTTTTTTTTATTTTTTTTTTTAATTGACAGAAAATCATTACTCAAGGCTCTGCAGCCATTTAAAGTTTAGTTGCTAAATGACTTAAGTTCAGTTGAATTTACTTTTATTAGTAACTTACTTTTAGGAGTTTTAAAAAAAAGTCAGACTTCAAAAATGACCTGCTGAAGCTATGATTCAGTAGTCAAGTGGCACCGTATTCTAAACAACATGTAGTAGTGTGGAGAGATGCTGGAGCCATTAAGTTAATGCCTGTGTTAACACACGTCTGAGTAAAACTTGCTTGACTTACCATTCCATCAGTATTACCAAGATAGCTCTTAATTAAACTGGGGGTTAAAAATAGAAGTGAGTGTCAGCAACCCTGGTAAAGATAAATGACAGTTATCAATACCTTATTTTATTTATTTTTTTTTTTATGTGGTGGATGGAGTTCTTTGAGAAGCTCACAAATCTGGGGTTTGCTTATTTTTGGAACAGTAATTATTCAGTGTCTAACAGGTTGCTCTGAATAATTGCTGCATTTATTAGGAAAATGCTTTAAGAACAATAATGGTAAGCTCTAATTCAAGATGATTGAACGTCTATAACTCCACAGTTTACTTCACTTAGGCTTACTGGCAGTTCCCAGTCAGGTTAGGAGAGACCACTATCTGGAAAACCAAATGGCTTTTGGTTCTGCTGACTACTAAAAGGTATTGACAGTTTCTGTACTTTCTTGTAATCAAAT